GCTAGTAGTAGCAGGTGCCTTACTAGTAGTAACAAAGAAGCTACTAGGAACAAGTGCATCGCTAGTAGTAACAAGAAGCTACTAGGAACAAGTGCCACGCTAGTAGTAACAGGTGCAATTTAATTCTAAATCAATAGCTTCTTGTTACTACTAGTAAGGCACTTGCTCCTAGTAGTGATGCACTTAACCAGTTAAACTTCAACAAAGAATTGGTATCTCTGTGTTTTGTTGTCCAGCGCTTTTCATTCGGCCGATGAAACCAAACATCGGCCCCATGCCGAAGCCACTGCCGATGAAGACCCATAGACTGTGCGCCACGACATGGGGTCCGCGCAAAATGCACGCTCAACGGTGGGGTCGGCGCTCAGCGCTGGTCGAACACACAAAAGGCTAGGACAACTGATCAAACAGGATAACCGTTTTTTCATTCGGCCGATGAAACCAAACATGAAAAAGGGCCAGGAACAGGTGCCAGGTGCCTAAAAGTATACAAACTTTTGAACACAGAATGTACAATTCATTAAAAAAGGATGCTCTTAGGAGCGTTCGGACGCTACGAGGGGAACACACGAATCCGAGGAGCGACGTGACGGGCTAGCCCGGCTACTCAAGGAACAAGTGCCTCGCTTCTAGTAACAAGTGCCTTACTAGTAGTAACAAGAAGCTATTAGAAACAATAAGCATTTGGCTTCCCTACTCAACTATATAAGGAAGAAGTGGTGGCTCCTAGCTACTTAAACTATCTTAAACTACTAACTAGCAACTGGACGCAGGATAGCTCACGCTTCTTCAAGGAAGCTCCCCCCCGCCCTCATCACTAATCATTTGGTTCCTAGATTTTTGGACAGTGTCGATACCTTGCCACTTGTGAGCATCAGACGGGCAGGCCAACGCCATCAAAACCGACTGCCAGAAAGACTTGGACGAGGCAATGGTATGTGGTTTTGACCCCTTATGCATTGACATGTATCGACAGCAAAGTCAACCGAGTCTCCTTTTTCACCAGCCCGCAACTACTTGCACGAGTGCTTTTAAAAGGCCAATAAGGTCTGGAGTACCTTGCTCGGTACTACATATACCTAGACCCTTAGCCTTAGATCTTCGTTTTAGTTTTGCTTTCTTTCAAACACACATGCTTTTTAAAAGACCAAGCGTTTGGCATGCATTGCAGCATGCCACACTTATATGCAAGCTTTCAATACTGCCCGCTACTAGGGGCACCTGGGCCAAAGGAGTCGCGAGTCGCTAACCCTTTGACATATAAACAAGAGAGCACATTGCTGTTCTTTTTCATGTTCTTTCTTTCCTGATTGCTTTCTTTTTCCTGTTTTTGTGTGGAGGAATGACACGCTACCTGAAAAATTGACAAAGAACACGTTTTCCAACTGGCAGGCATTGCCTGAATACTATGCTGCAATCAAATCCCTCGATGCTTTAGACAAGAAGGACACCACAACCTGTGAGACCCGACGCCAAATTCGAGCTTCTGAATAGGTCCTGAACGTGAGTAGCGGCCATCGCCTAGTAGGTCGTGAGGCCAGCGCCACTAGGGTGGATGGAGGCCGCTTTTAGAGTGGAGCGATTCAGCTTTTTGGGTGTGGGGGTGCTCTCTCTCTAGTAGCTTCTTGTTTCTAGTAGTAACAAGTGCATCGCTAGTAGTAACAAGTGCCTTACTAGTAGTAACAAGAAGCTAATAGAAACAATAAGCTAGTAGCTTCTTGCTCCTAGTAGTACGGCCAGGAGCCCCTGGTAGCGTCCGATCGCTCCTACTAGCTTCCTACCCCCGCGGGCGCGCGCGCGAAAAGGTCCTAGTAGATTTCTTTGCTAATTTGAATTCTAATTGAACTTAATTACTAATTCTTTTTCTACTAGCTTCTTGTTACTACCGTAGTAGTAAGGCCCTTGCTCCCAGTAGCGATGCCACGAGCCCCTAGTAGCTTCTCCCTCCTCGTTCGCAGGACATTCAGGAGGTGAAGTCCTTTGCAAAGCCACCGCCGCTCGTAGAGGCGCCCGAGAACTCCGTCTTCCGCACCGAACGGTGCTGTTTTGCTCGCTCAGGTGGTTCTAAGCGCGGTTTGCCTCCTCCTTGGTGCGCCATGTGCAGCTTGTGAACCACACGTTTTCATGATGGAACTCTGTGCCAGGTGTGAAAGAGAGCTGGGATGATGCCAAAAAGCTGCTGGGCAGTAATTACACAGATGCAGGTAGATTTCAAGATAAAAACAAGATATCAATCGACATGAGATGTCTATTCGGTTTAAAACGTGCTCTGCACTGCGATTGAAGCCTTCAAGGCTCATGAATGATACAAAATTCTTGGACAACCTGAAGTCCTACGACAAGGACGGCACGACAGTTGACCTCAAAAGAGCTTTGATGTCACACAAAAGAGCAGAACGATGAATCGGGAATCGGAAAAGAGGTCTAGAAGATCCAGAGACCTCCAACCTATTAGCGATGGCCTCCACCTAGTAGCTTCTTAGTAGTAATGCCCTTGTTACTAGTAGCGATGCACTTGTTCCTAGTAGCTTCTTGTTACTACTAGTAAGGCACTTGTTCCTAGTAGCGA